AAATGCCCATTACAAAGTTAACTAGTTTATGGAAAGTTCTCTTCATTTTAGTTCTGGGATTTGATTTATTCGTCAATTAAAAAACTAATTGGATAGCTAATTTCTGTAGCTTCATAGAATTGGCGACTGGTAGTTTATTTTCTGGACAATTATATAAAAGAGAAGAGGAAAAAATTATTTGGGTGTTGGGCATTTTTGTTGCTTGCTGAAATGTTTGATTCACATTTTTCTATCATTATTTGACCTGGCAGGAAAAGTTGTCTGCACAAGAAGTACAAGACCTGGTGAAGGGAGAGAGAAATGTACCATTGATAATTGATTTCTACGCGACATGGTGTGGTCCTTGTATTTTGATGGCTCAAGAACTTGAAATGGTATGTTTTGATCTTTGCATGATTTTTTTTCTGAGAAACATGATTAGGGAATAAGTTTCGTTCATGTTCTTCATGCGACGGGGTTCTAATTATATCATACTCATCTAATCTTATCTGTGTATACTTTTAAATATAGGATTGGTTGTGCTTATTCCACACTCATAATTGGTGAATAATTGAATTTAGTGTCACTGATGACACAAAGTAGTAAAGGTCATCCACAAATTTGAAGAAAAAATACTATTGACTAAGGACAATGGTTGGAAGATTTTCATATGATTTTTATTTCACCGATTTCATTGAACTTGGAGTGCTCTGTCTAAAACTTAAGGGCCTGTTCTCTTTGTGTTTCGGTTTTGTGTTTTGAGTTTTGAAATCATTTTGAGTTTTGTGTTTTGAGTGCTTGTTTTGAAATTGCTGAAAATACGTTCTCTTTGTCATTTTGGAAAACAGTTTCTGAAAACATAAAACTGAAAAACGCGTTTGCTTTGAAATTTTGAGAAATTTTTTTTAATAATATTTTATTCAAAAAATCTGATTATTGAGGTTGACACTGATGATGAATACGAATTTGCACGTGACATGCAGGTAATGATCTCTTGCTGTTATTTTCCGCCCCAACACCAAATGCACCACTTAGAATCTGATTATTATAAATATTCCAAGCAGTATAATGTTTTACTTGTCCATACAGTAATTTAATGAAGGCTAATCATTATTTCATCTAATTCTATGTCAATAGACAATGCTATCACTTACAGTATTTCCTTTCAGAAGTTAGTTCAGATATAACTGGTGTTTCCTTGATAATTGGGAGGATCGGGGTTAAAACACCCATATTCGCTAAACTTTTCGCAAAATTGACCATCATAAAGTTTTGTAGAGGTCTAGCGATCATTCATATATTAATCCAATAACTTGTGATAGTATCTATATTGTCAAGATTACATGGTAAGAATCTGTGAAGTAATGCAAACTTGTTGCAGGTTCGAGGACTTCCAACATTGTACTTTATTAGTCCGGATCCAAATAAAGATGCGATTAGAACAGAAGGGCTCATCCCAATACAGATGATGCGAGACATAATCGACAATGAAATGTGACAGGATGTAACCATAGCTGCATTATTTAGCATCCTTGCTCTAGCTAGCTGTATTCTGTAAGGAACTGCAGAGACAGTTCCAAGTTGAAGATAATTTATTTGGTATCATGTAAAAGAACATTGTTTAGTTTGCTTCCGAGTTAGATGCAGCTCTTTTGCTTTATATTTATTCATTTTCTTGTAGGGCTAGTTGTATTCCGAAATTAGTTACAGTTACGAGTAACAGTTCACATTTTTGGTTCAAAGGATGTGCCTTGTGTTACTAATATCCAAGGGTGTTAAGTAGGTTGAGTTGAGCCGAGCCCAGTGGCTCAACCACTATCCTGCTTGGCTTGGCCCGCCGCCTTGTTAGCCAGCTCGGGCTGGCAAATGGGGCAAGCCAAGCACGAGTTGGCTTGTTTCCAAAAATCTTTGCTCGGCTCTCCCCTTAATTCTTCACAACACTTAATTTTTATTTATTTATTATTATTTTTTTGGGTGATAAAAAATTGAAAATTGCTTTTTTACACCTGAAGTGTAAAGAAATGGTGAGCAAAAAAATATATTTTGTCAAAAGATTTTAAGAAAAGAACTATAAATTTGTAAAAGCCTTCTTCTTTCGTTCGAGTTTGGGTTCGACTACATGATATGTAGGTAGAGTTAAAATTGCACACAAATTAATATTTCGAGTACAATTTTTTGTAAAGTAAATGAAATAAATACAATTTAATAACAAATAAAAGAAACGAAATATATTTATAACTCACAATCTACAATTGCAAAACTGAAATTATATCATAAGGCGACCTTCATCATCTCAAAGTTGTTGGGACATTCAACTATGTGCTTCTATTTAGGTTGTTACCTAGGTCATTTTTTTCCATTATGGACCTTACGTTTGTAAGTGTTGATAAAGTCATAGGTGCTTTGAAGAAGTCGTGAGAATATACAATTATTGTTGTGCATTCTATAATTGAAGTAAATAGAAGAAGTCGGTCCCTACAATTATTTCTCTTCGTGAGAATATATTTGTTTCATATGTAAAATTTAAATTTGGAACATGCTATAATTACAGAGAATTTTGATAGACAGACAATACTTGACAAAAATTCATTGGAAGATGAAAAAAGAAAAAACAAGTGAATCATATTTCGTCACGTCAGTTTCGATAACAAATCTATCAAAAGTTTCCTATAATTGTGGCTTCTTCCTTTAAATTCATTTTAAAATAAATGAAAGAAATGTTCAGCCACACGTAATTTGAGACGAGGATCGAATATTATAACCAATTTCATTTTGAACTTGATGACAAAAAATAATAATCTTGTTTGTATAACGAAGACTATTATAGTTCCATTCGAAATCGATGTGAAAAAAATGAAATTGAATTCCATCAATACTTATTTTGGGAAATGTGAGGAAAATTACAGTAAATGCGGCGTTGATGCTTCCATGTCTCCAATTTCATCCTCCCTAATTTATGCAATGGACCTTCTTATATTTGAGTAGCAGATTATGTCATTGACTGTTAACATTAATATAACATTTATATTCAAATGATCTATTAGACCAAAAAAGGAAAAAGTTGCAGATATCGTAAATACTATTGTTAACAATATCCATAGTAGAAGAATCGATAAATATTTTATATAACCAAATTAACTTGCAAAGAATATGCAAGGTGATGATTAGGTTTATCCAATTCATTGCGTTTAATAATTTCTTTATAAGAGTCAAATTATCGCCATTAAAATATAATGCTATCAAATATACGTATCATTACCATCAAGAGAATAGTGTTGTTTAAAAAATAATAATAATAATAAAGAATTCTACATCTATAGTTGATGAAAATAACTTTAATTCTTTTTTTTTTTTGATACCCAGGTGTCCGCCTTACAGCGATTAATCTTGGAGCCTACGATCCAGCCCCTCTTTATGCAGACCAGGTAAATCGCGGGTTGTGTCCCAAACTGATCAGGGTCCAAGAGCCCTTCCAACTGAACTATCAAAGTGTCGAGCGAGTCAAATCCATGTATGCGCCTTGCCTTTAAAGAGAACTCCTGCTTTTCAGGAAATATCCTGCATTCCAGGAGAAATACTTTAATTCTTCTTTCATTTACTAAACATCGTACAACTGACTTTTTCATCGGATTTTTAAATGATTGGCAAGAAATTGAATAAATTATTTTCGTTCAAAGAAGATGATGATAAGCTAACCATTATGTAAATTATATGGTACAATAAATTATTGTGTTCAAAATAAAATAATAATACAATACCAAACAAATTATGAAACCAGAAAATCATTTCAATCAAATATTTTGGTGAGTGAAGAGAGTAGATTCTATATCAAAATGAGAGATTTTTAGAGAATGTGTGATGAGAACAGAAGTTGTGTGAAGATAAAGGCAGTGCACTTCCTTTTTATAGGGTCAATTGTTTCAATAATTATCCAACTTATACCATTGTCACAGTTTACTCACTAAACTTCAAGTGTTTCACGGTGCTCATCGAATTTTATCCATTTGCACCCATCCATCACCCTAAATTCCGTAACCTTATCCAATGATGTGGTTAACGAAAATCTGATTTGACAAGTTAAGACAATCAAAAAATTACAATTTAACCAAACCATTATTCCATTACTCACCCAACTTACACTTGTGGTAATTTGCTCGTCGAACTTCAAAATGCTTCCTAATGGTCACTCATCTTTGAGATGTTACTTTCTATTTATCATCCACCATATTTCATTCCGTTCGTTGCTAATGTTCTCATAGAAATTCCACATGGTAATTTACAGATGTTAAAAAAATTACAACTCAACAAAATGATCAACTCGCTGTAATCACTATATGTGAAACGTGACTTCCACAGCCCCATAAACTTTTTAAAAACCCAACGAAATGTCCCCAATGATTCTTTTAGAAATATCACTCTTTCAATTTGAACATTTACTATATAAAAAAATAGGTTTCAATCTAAAAGCAGAAAATATGAAGCATAGCTTGTTCGATTGGAGATTGATTTGTAAAAATGTTTGTGTAGATTTCACCATTTTCTCATTCACTGTCTCCAATTCCATCAATTTCATCAATCTTTACCTAACAAACACAATATATGTATAAAATTAAGGCGTGATTTATTAAATTATCCAACAAATACTCTAATTTAAATGCCTAATTAAGCATAAGATAATTTACTTATCACTAGGATTTTTTAGGGCTTAAATTGGGGACGCTTTATTGGATTTTTAAAGTTTATGATGCGTGGAAGTCGTGTTTCACATATGGTGATTTTTGTGAGTTGATAGTTTGGTTGAATTGTAATTTTTTGATTATTGCACTTACCCATGGAATTTATTTCATACAATAAATTAGCAACGAAGTGAATGACATATAGCGGATATTGAATGGAATGTAATAGCTCAAAAATGAATGACCATTGGAAAGCATTTTGAAGTTCGATGAGTAAATGTGATCTAGTGTAAGTTGGATAAGTAATGAAACAATGGTTTGGCTAAATTGTAATGTTTTTAATGGCTATAACTTGACGTCAAATTCTGTTAACTACGTCAGCAAATAAGGTAAAGAATTTTTTAGGGTGATTGATGGAGTGCAAACGGATAAAGTTCAGTGAATACTGTAAAACACTGTGAATTTTAGTGAGTAAATTGTGACCTTGATATAAATTGGGTGATTATTGAAACAATTAACTCTTTTTTATAAGCAAAATCTCAATGCAAAAATTTGAAGTGCAAGAAAAAAAATTTAAAAATTTCAAATTTAAATATGACAATTTTAGACCTTTCATGGGCTAGACGGGCCTCCTGACTCGCCTAGCAGTGACTCGCGAGGATTTTTCTGCTCGGCTCTTATGTGGGGAGTACGGCTCGCCCCACTTAACCCCAAGTAACATGCCAAAAATAATAATAAAATAATGAAAAAAGGCTATATTTAATTTTGAAATGAAAAAATATATTTTCGACTATTACTTCATTAGATCATTACAACTGGGAATTGCTATATGTAGCCGAGGCTTTACATTTGTAGAACACTCCCTTATGGAACCGACCCATCCACATAAAGGGATATCCCATTAGAATCTTGTTATATGTACATCAAGACTTACATAAAGGATTAGATAATACCCACATAACAGTTTTAAAACAAAATTAACTTTTTCATCCAATTTTTTTCCCTTACATCATTTTCAGTAATAGCTTATGTACCATTTTTATGTATGTTAGATATTTTTCATCATTTTGCATATATTTATTTTTGTTTTGCGAATGATTTGCCGCCTCGACTAGTGTTTGCCACTACGCAACGGGGATCGACCTGTAGATGTATGCAAGGATTTGAATAGATGCATCTGTTCGTTTTATTTTCAGAAGTCTTTGAAGAGGTGCATTTGTTCGTTTTTTAACAGTCACCTCCAGTAGATGTATGCAAGGATTTCAATGGACACACCTATTTAAACGATTGCCTCAATTTCTATAAATTCTGGGCAAATTCTCGTTTGCAAAATACATTAAAAAATTTATTCTTCTTTCTTTCTCTTGACATCAATAAGTTATTTTCGAATCTCTTCTTGGTTTGATCAAATAGTCACAATTTGAATCAAACGTCTCCATTGTATCCTGAGAGAGATTTTCTATCATACCTCAATTGTGACTTTGTTGGATAGAGGAGAAACATCTCTTAAAAGATAACATTTTTTCGTGCCTTAGAGTTCATTAAGTATTCAGATTTCCCTACATTTTTCTCAACAATGTACAAGCAGTAAAATCCATCCCATTATATGTAAAATTCATTTGAATGATATGTTATTAATACTACCTTCATATTCATCTTGTTCCTCCACTTTCCTTTACTTCGCCACTTTTGACAATTTTATTTCACATACTAAGTTTAAGGATCACAGTAAAGTGTTGAATGATAAGAAAGCTAACTCAACATAACATATATATTCTTTCAGAGAAGTAAAAAAAAAATACAGAAATGAAGGCTTTCATCTTTGTATCATCAATGATCATCTCTCCATATTGTACAAAGTGGCATCGGATTTATATCAGTATCAAGTTTTTCACTCTCAAACCTAATCAAATCATCCGATTCCATTTACACCAGGAGTCACTCTGCAAAGGCAGATTCATCTGTTATATGGAGGAATAAATGAAGATTTCTTCTGCAGCATTA